TACGTTTATGATTACGTCAGAATGTTTTAAATCATTAAAAAACAGTTTTAAATCAAACAAACATGTTTTAAAACATTTTCCATCTCTACGCGTAGTGGGTTAGTGCACCACAAATGCTAACAATATTTAGCGCGATCGATAAAGTAGTAATTGGACCGGGTGATCGGGTACCAGGTTGAGTTTTGGCAACCCGGGTGGAAGCGGGTGGATCAACCCACGGGTCCAAAAATAAATTCTGGGACACCTGATACGTAAAATTAGCTTTGGCTGATTCAGGTAAGTTATTGATTCAGCACATAAGATGCTGTACGTACGTAGAATGAGCAATGTAATAATTTTAAGCATTGTAATAATTAGAAACCTAGTTGCGTCTTTCGTCAATAAAATCTTAATTGATGAAATGACGAAACTGATGAAAGGTGACAAAACTGACGAAAGATAATGATACTGAAGAAAGGTGACGAAACTGAAGAAAGGTGACGAAACTGACGAAAGGTAGTGATACAGAAGAGAGGTGATGAAACTGACGAAAGATAGCGAAACTGACGAAACTGCAAAGGGTGACAAAACAACAAAAGATGAAGTTACAGATAAATGTTGAAAATAATGTGAATAGAAAAAAATAAACTAAAACAAAATTTATAAAAATTACAAAAATTTTATTATACAACTAGGCGCTTAATTGTTTAAAGGGAGTTGGACATATCGACTCTAGTGAGAAATGCTTGGTGCTTTCTTACAAGTTTATTTGTGCCAGTATGTTTTAATTCATTATATTTGTGCTATTCCATGAGTACTATACTCTTTGACAAGGTTATTTCAGCCGGTCTATAACAACCCTAGTGTTGCCTAAAAAAAATGAACTGGGTTATATTACTGACTTCATGTAATTTCGGATACTGATCTCTGAATAAATTATGAATTTTTATTCAATGAAATAACTTATTTTTTTAATTACAGTGAACAAATATGTAAATTAAATAAAAAGTAAAATAAATAAGAATAAAAAGTGAAATAAATAAAAATAAAAAGTAAAATAAATAAAAAATAAAAGTAAAATAAATAAAAATAAAAAGTAAAATAAATAAAAATAGAAGTAAAATAAATAAAAATAACAAGTAAAATAAATATTCATAAGTTTGAACGGATTATCCTAAATTCATAGAATTTTAAATATTTTTATATACCACTAAAGTGGTTTACTTTTAATATGCAAATTAATTGTATACGAATTTAAATAAGATAAATCAACATATATAGATAAATTTATGAACTAAAGAATTTTAATGCATTGATTAAAAAGATTTTTATACAAAATTATTTTAAAGATTAGTCCTTTACACTAGAGATGTGATAGAAACTATTACAGAGAGACCTCTTTAAATACACCCTCTATAAATGCATTCTCCGTGTAAAATCTATTAAATGCACGGTGTAATTTGGTCCCAACTTATACTGTAGTAGCACTATATATTTGCTCTCTATAAATACACACCCTCTTCAAGTGTATTTTTTTCTATTGTCCCGAGGAAGGTGCTTTTAGGAAAGTTTCTCTATGTATAGAAAGCTCCTACAATAAATTAAAAAGCACGCTTTTTTAAAATTATTTTTAGTTTAGTTTAAATAATATAGTGAGGAGTTAAATTTAAATTCTTCACATAGAAATCCCATTAATTAAAAAGTGATAAAAAGTAATTCAATTGATTGATTATATAACTGATAAATCAACAAACGAGGTAAAATTTTCATTAAAAATTTTCTTAAATCGAATTATGTCATCTCGTGCAAGTCGCGTAAAATTTGTAGGGTGATGGTTTTGTCGTTCCGTACGAGGTACATGCAGCATTAATGGAGAATGTAACTGATACTAAAAATTGATAGTGAATAGCTTACTCCAGTTCATTGCAGTATAGAACCCATTCCAAGTTGAGGACAACCTGAAAATTTTAATTAAATCTAAGTCCAAACTCTACAAAGTCGGCTTCTGTCGCGTAATTTCGCGTGTCATGTGATACGATAAGAATTCACTTTAATATATTGATATATTAGGTATGAGTGAAACCAGCAAGTAAAAAAGTTATCCCTAAAGAATTGTGATTTTATATATAAGATCCAGTGCTCTGGTCATTTCGGTTTTATAACATAATCAATACTCAGATAATATCTGATATTGATATGTTATTGCCGAAATGACCAGTGCATATTCTTAATCGATCATGTAAGATCACAATTCTTTAGGGTAAAAATTTTTACTTACTGGTTTTCTCTAGGGATGGATCAGTCCGTTCCGGTCGGTCTCAGTCAGTGTTAGATATCTAATGTTCTCAGTGTTCTCAAGAACATTAAATTATTTTTGAGAACACAATTTTTAAAAATTATGTTCTCATTTGAGAACATAAAATTTGTAAATTGTATTATATCTAAAAACTTTTGAGAACATTAAAAATTTTTCCGAGAACCTAAAATTTAAAATTTATGTTCTCAGGGAACAAAAAAAAGTTTCAGATCTCTAACACTGGTCTCAGTCCCTATTAGACCGATTTTATAATGTTTTTTAGTCCGATTGGTCCGTCTTTTCGGTCCTATAATCGGTCTCATGACTTAATTTTTCAACAAAATTTTTAAAAATGCAGTGCAAATTAAATTTATATTATAAAAAATACGCAACGTTAAAATTTTTATTTATTAGCGGCCAAATTTTTAAAAATCTTATTATAAAAAATACAGCACATTAAATTTATATTATAAAAATACAGCGCAGTATTTTTTCATTTTTTTGGTCGGCAATTTTATTAAGATTCGAATCATCAATTTATTTCATTAGAAATTGGAACTTCGTCACTTATTTCATCACACTGAGAAATAATGGAAGATGGATGCAAGAGTTTTCTGCTATCGTTCATGGTAAGAAAGAGTTATAAGTATTATTATTATTATTATTATTATTATTATTATTATTATTTGCATTGTTTTCTTTATATTAATTTATCAGCACTTTTATCAATAGTATTAGTCATCGTTAGACCATAATCGGTCCTCAGTCTTTTACCGTCCAATCTCGGTCTTTACGAAGACCGATCCATCCCTAGTTTTCCCTCTCGAGCACTCATATTTTTCGCACGAGGTATAATGTCATCCTGCAATAGGTGCAAAATCTCAGATACATTAGTCGGAGTAAGTGTCGATTAGTAATAATCCCATGGTTACAATTGACGGTAAAATAAATTTCCATTGCCGAATTGCGCAATAAAATTCGATAATGTCGCAATTCGATAATTGGTTGTCAATATATTTGTGATCTTGATATGGTGATCCAGATAATATTGTTACATATATTCGTTCAGATTTTTTATCTTATCGTTATTGCGTTGATTAAGATGATTTTATTCACAAACAAAATCTATAGGCTTTTATTTTTAGATTGTCTAAATATCTATCTGTAGTAGTATAATTTCGAAATATTAAAATTAAAAGAAAAATTCTATTACAAAATAAAAAAAACAAAAAAACAAAGAAGTTTGCTGCTGTCTAACCAAATAACATGTCTATTAGTATTAATGCCAAAATCATATAGTTCAGTTATTTTATTAGAATCTTTTTCGAACTTCAAACCAACAAAATTAAAACGCTTACTATAATACAATTTTGTTTATCATTTCTTAATAAATATGTTTGGATATAGACTAATAATATTAATGACATAATAAATTAACTTAATAGCCAGCTGCAAATCCAACTTTCCTATAATCGCTTGCAGCTGTATACATTAAAAAAAAAAGTAGTTAATTGACGAAAAATTTAAATATATATATATATATATTTAATAAATGTTCTCTTACCATGAATAGTTCCATTTTTAAACTTTCTAACTATTTGAACAGCACACGCAAATCTTCTATCATAAACATTATGTAATTGTATCTACAACATAAAAAAAAAAGTTAAATCTAGATTTCTAGATGTAACAATAAAAAAATAATAATTTCATGAAAAGTACTTACGACATGTCCAATTTTTAACAAATCATTAACCAACTCATAGTCGAACCCAGATTCCATTTCCAACTAATAAAGAGAATTCAAATTATTAAAGAACCAACATGAAAATAAATTAATCAAACGGGACAAAATATTTACCACATTTGGTAATAGTTGTTGGTGGACTCTAGGTGCATTAACGGCGGACAAAACGTCCATATTAAATTCATATACATTTGTCAATACCTATAAATTTCACAATAAAATTTTTATATATAATATATAAAAATATATCAAAAAAATTTTTTTATATAAAAGGAATAAAAATTTATTTTAAATTACCTGTAAGACACCGGTAAGAATTCTTGTACCACCACTACCACCAACTATTAATTCCACTTCACCATCTTCATTTTCCACTATCGTTGGAACTGTTGAAGATAAAGGCCTCTTTCCAGGGGCTAAGTAAGATGATATTTTAGCAAAACACGTATTTACTTAAATTATTTAAACTGTTCCGAACGGACTGAGTTATAATTCTGATTCGAAACTTTCAAATCGAGTTAACACATCCATACTACTAAACAACTTGTTTTCTATTTCTGATCGAATTTACCCGGTGCGTTCGGAGCATTAAATTATAAAATTACCTACCAACAAAATTATAAGGCGAAGGCCATAATCCAAAATCATTTGGTTCACCGGGAACTGCAAAATCATTCATTTCATTATTAAGAAGTATACCAGTATTAGGATCTAAAACACGTGCTCCCCAAATTAGATTAACCTATTAATAAAAAAAAATAATTGTAAGAACGTAATGGTAAAAAAGAAAAATTTAGAAGATGGTAATTACCGTAGAGGTAAAAGATACAGCCATATTATTAACATCGATAGCAGAAATGTGAGTTGTTCCATGATCTTCAGTGAAATCAAACATCGGGTCATAATGGCTTGGATTATATGTGTGGGTCTATTAAGGTATTAGATTAATAATACGACTCTATTAAAGAAATTAAAATTTGTGTCAGATCATAATAGTGCCTACCCTAGTATAGGGTTTCACCTAACCTTAATGAAATTCAGTATTGAAATTTCGATCTGACACAAATTTCATTTTGACGTACAACGTATACAAGGTCCTTACATCTGAAACATTATGCCGTACAAGTTCGGCAAATTTTTTGGAAATAATTTCTTTTACACGGTCATTATGTTCTTTTTGATTTTCGAACTGCATTTCCAAATAAATGTGACATCAAATTTATGCGGATCGTGATCAAAAATTCAGATAATAATAATTTGTGAGATTGTTTAGTAGACTTACAAATGCAGGATCCGCCAGTTCAGTACGTCGGGCAAAACCAACTAGATAAGAAAAGTTTATAATCGTTATACGACTTAATTACGATATACAATGATTTTTTTAATATAAGAAAAAATTTTACATTTTATCGTTTCAACGATTCTGAAAGATAGTATAAAAAAAAAAGAATTACAAAAAGGTTGGCAATGGCTGACATTAATAAGACAATAGATAAATAATCACCTTTGGAGATTAGTGCCATCAAGCCCAGTTATAGTCATATTATATCCTTCCAGTAAATTCAACATGAATATTAATGCAGGTCCACTTGTAGGTTCTGGTGGTGTTATTACCTATAAATATTAGATTCGATGTAAAATTCGATATAAAAAAAAACTCTGTATAATTAAATTCAAATCTAAAATTTATAATTATACAAAATTACTTACTTTTCGTCCGTGATAATATCCAATGATAGGTTCACGAACAATGGGTCGATAATTAACAAAATCTTCAAAAGTCATTTTTCCACCCTGAGTATTAATTTCTTTGACCAATGATTTTGCGATATATCCCTATAATTATAATATAAGTAAATGAATATTTATATTATAACTTAAACACTTATATAACTATACTAAAAAATTAAATTAATTACTTCGTAAAATTCGGTACTGTCATTAGCAATAGCTTCCAAAGTTTTTGAAAAATTAAGCCGATGTACTATTTTTCCTTCAGTTAACAATTGTCCGTGTGGCGCATAAATATCACGATACGATGGAACATTCAATATTACACTTCTATACGACTATAGAAAAGAGTTATCCCTTTACTAAAAGTTTATTATTAAAATTAGGACAACGATAGTAACTCAATTTACCTTTAGTCGTATAGCCAATTCTGGAGGAACAGGAAAACCATCACGACTTAATTTAATTGATGGCTCAAAAAGTCGCTTCCATGGTAATTTTCCATATCTATATTATAAAAAAGATTATTTAATGGAAAATTACCGATCAAAAGCAAACAAAATATTTAATAAGTACTTTTCATGTGCAAGTTTCATTCCACGAACTTCGCCGCTAAACGAAATAAAGTAAATAATTATTAAAATATAGCCATTAAATAATCTTTTAAAAATGTATAATTAAAAAAAAAAAGAAATTTAAACAACTCACGGAACACCAACAGCAAGTCCACCAATTTTAGACCAAGTATGATTCTTTTTATACATATCAGGTTTGGCGGATTGTGGAGCAGTTTCCCGACAATCAATAAATTCAGCAGTTCCATCAGGCAAACGAATCATCATTAAACCACCACTAAAAAATGAACATAATGAATTATCAGAAAAAAAAGTAAATAATATAATGTATTGCACGAACAATTCATACCCTCCAATTCCTGCAGAAAATGCATTGACCGTGCCGACACATAATTGAGTTGCAATTGCAGCATCAACAGCTGATCCGCCCTCTTTTAAAACTATAATTTATAAAAGTTAATTTATGCGAAAAGCCAAGTTTCAATTATAAAAAAAAAATAAAAATAAAAAATAAAAAAAAATTAAATACCATCAACACCAATAACAGAGCAATTCACTAATTCAGAAGCAACGGCACCATGTTTAGCAACAATAAGTCGAGGATCATCACTAGCGATTATACCATCGAGAACTAATAGTATAATAGAGGATATAATTTTTAGATGTATTTTAAATGAAATTATAAATGCAATTTTTTAGATAGAGCATAAATATGTCCACTTTTTTTTTATAATTATTAATAAATAAATAAAATATTCATGACTTTTTTAAAACATATAAATTTAGTAAATTTTTTAAAAGCATTTGGTTAATTTAACATTTGGCACTTTAACTAAAAAGTGGATAATTTACGCCATCAAATAGTTTTATAATAAAAAAAAGAAGCAGGGCATACCTTTATTCACAGGAAATGCAACAATAATTAAACCAAATAAAAGTCCAGCACAAACTACTAAAATAACAACCTTCAACAATGAAAGACGCCGCGATGATTTTATATCATCGTCGGACCGATGACCATCTTCAATGTCTTCGATAGAATGATAATTATTAGTCATATTCTTGATGAATGTGACAACAAATTGAGTTATTCAATCCTGAATTATTAAAGAATTTTCAAAGAATTTTTGTCAGATATATTTTTCTTTAGATTAAACGTTGCAAAATCTGTTCAAGAATTAAGAGGGCGGCCTTTTAAATAAGCAGCGAAAGGAAATGATTTGCCAAGTAATGGAACGAATGGAGCAAAATGAAGTAAAGGATGAAGATTAAGGGGGACGAATTATTTTTATAGCGATCTTGTTGATCACATTATTCTCGCTGAACTTTTCGTCCCGATAAATTTTGATACGTATATAATAATAATATATATATAATATATTTGAATAATATTTCCTAACCGGTAATAGAATAACCGCGCTGTGTGACCTAATGACCAAGTAATATGTACCTCCCTAGGAAACAAACAACTCGTGACGGCATATTGCAACATACATTTGTTTTGATAAAGGCTTCTGACAATAGTATAGTGTAATTGTTTTACTGCTTTACTGCATGGAATTTTTACGAGTGATAAAATTAGTAATCAAGAAATACATGTGATAACTTACTGTTGCCTTTTCAAGATTTTAGTGGGTCGAGTGACCTTCCGCCACTTACCCATTGGCTGTTTTGAAACAAGTTGGATAATTAAAGTTTAAAAAAGTGGAAATTTTAAATAAATATCCCACGAAAGTTTAAATGTGATACATATGATGCACTCTTGCATAAAATTCGGTTGGTTTAAAGACGATTTTTTTTTTCTCTAAATTGAAAAAGAATAAGCAAACATTTTTTTCTCTCTTTTTTTAAATGAATTAATTAAATAGATTTTATACATAATTATTGATATGAATGTGTTTGTTACTATTTTGGCTAATCAACATTCCGCGTATATCCGATGCAACAACATTTTCGGTATAATCATCTTATTAATCTTTTTGCAGATTTCGGGGCTGATGTTTTTTTTTTTTTTTATTTGATCATGAGGATAGCCTGCCTTTTTTTTATTTGATCATGAGGATAGCCTGTCACTTATTTAATATACCTGTATACTGTATCGATAAATCCTTATACTAAATCTGATTGATTGTAATTACTTTATACGTAAATAAAAAACATGTTACTTGTATTCTTACCTGTTACTAAATTACTAAATTACGTAACGTCACATTACATTACATTACTGGTTTTTTTTTTGTTATATGTTTATATACTGTATATATTTATTTATTTAGCAATTAAGTACACAAATTACAAAATTCGATGTCAGAATGTCAGAACAGAATCAATTCTTAATTCTTAAATATATACTAAAGTTACGACTTACCACATACATACATACAGTATATGCATTTAGTGCAATATGGTATAAATGTTTGTATTACATATTGTACTGATCGCATATGAAAACATGAAAATCTTTGTCATCTATATCATTATTTAATGCAACTGTACTATCGCTATCTTGATTAAATCTACTGTACATTAATCATTACTGCATTAATCTTTCATTAATCTCATTAATCTCTTCGTTCCAAAAAAACTCCATCCAATAAATCTTCAAAGTTCTTACTAACATTTCCAACTCCTAACAATACTTTATTGAATATAGTAATACTAATAACAATGATCAACGGTGGAAAACATAATATTATTGATGTAATAACGATACAAAAACTTCCAATTGCCGAGATTATCATACAACTTAAAAGGACGGTAAGTGCCAAAATCATAGATGGAATTGATTGAAAAACCAAGATGGTATAGATTAACCAACGGACGGGTGGAAAGTTCTTCCAAAGTTTTGATAATGAATCTGATTGTGCATCGAATTCATAATGAAATAATGACTCTTGAAGGTCTGGGTGTAAAGGTTGTGTACCGATCATTTGTAAATTTTGCAAAAAGTAATTTTGTGTAAAATATCTTCTCATTACAATAAAAATTCGTACATTTTTATAAAATCTTTTGCTAAAAATTGATAAAAGTAAATGTTCATTTATCTGATTCGTTTCTTCGTCGAATTAATATTTATTCATCTGATTAATTTGATTAATTGATTAATTTGATTCATTTGATAAATGTGATAAATTGTGTTGTTCGATTACGGACCTGGTACGTACAGTACATACAGTACGTACGTACGTACGTAGCGATGATATCTCGATTAGATCTTTAACAAAGATAAGAGCTTTAATTACGTAATTGATTATACATGCTGCAAATATCGATTAGTTCGTTAGATGAAAATGCTATCTGTTATCTGCTTCCGCTTTTATGACGAATTAATAATTAAAGAAATTCGATAGATAAAAGAAATTCAAAATATGGAAGGAATTCGAAATATAAGGAATTCGAAACATAGGGAATTATTTTTGAAGTATTTATCGATTAATTGGATGATCTTAAATTCTAATAGTGGGGTTGGCGCATTTCGAAAATAAAATAGCATTTTTCCAATAGCATTTTTATTATGTTGAATTATAAATCGGAAAAAAATAAAATAAGATTCTCTGATTTCTAATTTGAAATCACCCAGTTTATTAGCATGGTATCGTTGAACTGTAAATAATTTACAGCAATGCTATATCAAAAATTAGAACAGATTGTTCTTGATTAAAAAGTTTTGGATTCAATGAAATTCAAACCCAAAATCCCAGACAACTTAATTATCTCTTTCCTTAACTTAGAGGAATTTATAATAAATTTATTGCAAATTTCGGGATTTTGGACTTATCAATTAAAATTAACTCGTTAATTTTAATGTCGATATCATTATCGTTATCGAGTACGTACGTACGTACATGACTTTAAGTCACGTTCTTATATTTACAGGATTCAATTCCTGATAGTTATAATTGCTGTAACGGTAACAATTATGTAAGGTGAATGCAATTAGAACATGACTTACAGGTTTTCGATTTTTCCGTACTCATCATCTTTACGGGAACCGGTTTTGCATCAGAATTAGCTCTAGTGATAGTCACACAAGCATAATGTCGTGCTGGACGAATATCAACACTAAAAACAAAACTCTATACCTTAAAAATTCGGTCTGGGTCTTTAATTGAACCTAGGTGCCGCGCGGCAGATCCTCGATTTTGATTGACGATCAAAAAATTAGGCCGGAATTGCTCAATTTCACTAATGAAATTGCATCTTTCCGTTAAGTGAAAATTGTTCCTGGACCAATTTTACTATAATGCTGGCTTATTTTTTTAAAAAATTTCTATTTTTGTAATGAAAAAATCAAAATGTTAATTCCGGCCGGAATTAGTAAACAATTATGTAATGCGGGCCAAATTTTGAAGATCCTCGGCCGTTAGCCAATCATAATATATTGTACAAATTATAACTTATTTACTATATATTTTACTATATATCGATATATATATATATTATATATATATATATAGTTTAATATATTTTAGTTAATACGTTTAGATACAAATATTACTGGGGTTTTTGATAATGTAAAGTATTGTAATAAAAACTAGTGGTGCAGATTTTATGCATAGATCGTTAAATTTAAAAAATTGATTCATCTCAAATTTTTAATTAAATTATAAAAATTTTTTTGTGTATTGTCCAAGCTAAAAAAATGATAAAAAAAATTTAATAAAAGTGAAAATTTTAATCTATAGCTTTGTTTAATTATATTAAACTAATCGTTTGATGTATATAATGCTTGAAAAAAATAGTTGGCACATGAGATGAAGCTATTTTTTGAACATTAGTCTTCGCTAGTATTTTGTCGATCTATGCAAAAAATCTGCATTTATATACTAGTTTTCACAATACCTTACATAGATTTGATTAATTAGTACGTATATCAAAAACCCCACCTAGTGAATATATAATAAATAAATTATAATATATATACAGTATATATATATATATATATTATATATTATTGGTTATTATAGATACAGTCGACTCTGGATATACTGAACCTGCCTATACCGAAATCGGGATATAGCGAACCAGATCGGTCAGAACGGATTTTTTTATAATAATTTTGACTGCTATACCGAACTCAAATAGTAAATTTTTATAACGTATCCTGCCGTGAATAAGCACCCACCTTTTGCAATTTTTATATCCAAGTTTCTTATGATCTAGGCATAATTTTTGGCACTATTCGAATCGTTTTGATAAGCTGATTCGAATAGTACCAAAATTATACAGTTCCGATCACCAAATCATGAGAATGGATATGAAATCGCAAAAGGTGGCATCAACCCAGGACTATATGTATATGATATGTAATTCGATGTAATTCGATGTAGCAAACTATCATATAACTTTGCGAGTGAGATCCGAAATATCCCGTGAAGAAATGAATGACGAGCAAGGACAAGACAATTTTTGGTTAAATTCCGAGATTTTCCGAAGCAATGAGCAAATTTTATTGGATAGCTCTATATACTGAACTGTTCAGTATAGAGAGTAAATTATATAACGAATTTACTCTATACCGAACAAAATCTTCCAGAACATGCAGTTCGGTATATCAAGAGTCAACTGTATTTTTATTTTTTTTTTTATCAATAGTTTTCAATATTTAATTAACTATTCAAATTTGATGAATTTTTTACTTTAATTCTATAAAATTGTAAAAGTTTGACTTGGTAATTATTTGTCTAAAATTAAACAGTCTTCCGTGTTCGTAGATTTTAGAAAACAAGACTTTTTTTTCTTATATATTTCTAGTTATTGTTGTCGAAATATTTAGTTAAGTAACTTTATCGCTATTTTATCATCGATTTTTTTTAAAAAAATAGCAAGCATCGAGAGGTAAAGAATCTAAAAATTATATTCTAGTTTTAGAATATGCTGAAATGGGTTCTTTCATAAAATTTATACAAAATTGTACTAATGGATTGGGTAATATATATACAGTATATATTTGTTATCTCCTAATCCATTCTTGAGGACTTATTCATAAAGACTTATCATACATAGCAGAGGTATTTTATAAGACAATTTACATGAGAACGTAGGAACTATGGACCGCATAAATAATATCTATAATTTTCTGCATTCTTGAATTATACTTTCAAAGTTTCTTCCTCGTGAGATTTTAACATTTTTTTGTCAACTGTATTTTCATGTTTCAGTTATTATTTTTAACATATTCAAATATTCATAAGCTTTTCTCCCTAAAATCAAATATTTTGGAACTTCTGTGCTATTTGCAATATAAAGAATCTAATTGATGAGTAGAGATCTGCCTCTAACTCGATAAACCTACGTACGTTCGTAACTAATACGTCGAATGTTGTACAAATCTGGTGTCTGTTTCTAAGCTGATTACTACCCAATTGATGTTGCAACAAAAATTGACATAATCAATCTGGTACGTACGTACCAGATTTGTAACTGTTTTACATCATTCGACCTGTGTATTTCACATATGATCTCGCGTGAGATGTAAGATGACCTCATGCAGATTTCACGCGAGATATAACATCATGTGATAATTTGCATAATGATGGTATTGTTACGGGTTCCCTCCTCGTAACAAATTTATTGTGCCTCGTCAATCGATACTAAATTGGACATTTACTCCGAAGGTTGAGTTTCAATGAAAGTAAAGCGACCACAGTGTAAATTCAGTTTTGAGAGTGAAGACATAGTTTCATAGAAAATGTAATTTCATACCGGTTTCTTATAGTTCTTAAAACTGTATAAAAAAAAGAATGGCTTTCCGTGTTAATAAAGAAAGAAAATTTCCTGGTATCTAGTATAACCTTTTACTGTAATAAGAATCGATCTCGAACAAACATATGTTGCAATTGAAGCAAAACTGTGCATGTATACGCATTGTTTTCCCAACTAAATATGACAATATTAGCATTTCACGCATAGGCACGTCCAGCGTTGCCATGGGACACGGACGCGGACAGCGGACGTGTCCGCCCAGAATTTTTTTGTCTATGCCAATCGACACGTGATCATAAACCAATAAAAATCATTCGATATGCGTGTAAATACCATCACTGTCAAGCGACTTTATCATTGTTATTTACACACACAACACACAACCCAAACCAGGGATGTTAAAGACACCTGGTAGTTATGTGGTTTCATACATTTTTTATCGGAAATATCCAAAATGATTGACCTAAAAAAGGTCTATCGTAATAATTTTTGCTTACCCTACTGTAACCATCGTAAGGGAGAGCCTGGTACTGTCATGCCGAGTTTAACTCCGATGGTTGACGTTAGAAGGGTTACATGAATTAGGCAATAAATTATGGTATTCGGAAATTCATGATTTATTAGGCATTTATTATAAAAGAATATGACCTTTATTTATAGAAGAATTTGGGAGAGCGAATGTTATCCTCAACTAAGGATGAAGACATACTCTCATATACATTCTAATTTTACAGATTGTCAACATAGGGATCTCAACGCTTACGCTGTAGATTCCACATTTGCTCAAGGCGCAATGATTACAATTTCATGCAATTGCGTATACGCTCTTGCATGAATTAAGCCACCAAGAAAACATAATAATACCTAATACTAAAGGTAAGATTATAATAGTACAATTATGGAAGGTAAGTGACAATTTAAAGAATTAGACAAATACGGAGGTGATGAGATCCAGGAAAAATTAATCGTTACACTACGGACTTGTACCGGACATAGTAGGGACAAGGTTAAAAATTAGTGGGACAATGTCCGTGTACCGTATTTATCGGACGTGGGTACCCCATGGCGTGTACCATCTACCAGTTTTAAGAGCTGGATGGTGATTTATACCTGGGTACATAAGTATGGTATATACAATAAAATATGGGGTCTTTGCCTTGAAAATGACCTGTAGATTTTATGAATAAAAATTAAAATTTCTAGCTATCCAGTAATCAAATTCAAATAAACTTTTTTTTATTTTGTAGAGCTTAGTGAGTTTTACAAAATAAAAAAAAATTATTTGAATTGGATTATTAGATAGCTAGAAATTTTAATTTTAATTCATAAAATCTACATGGTCCCGTAAGGTCATTTTCAAGGCAAAGACCCCATTTATTGTTCAATGTAATGTAGAAAGTACCCGGGTACAAAGATTGAGATATGTAATACCCGCGTTCAAATAAATACGGTAGCTTTACAGCTGTTCTCATAAATTTTGGGACATCTGGTAAAAAATTGACCGAATGATTTTAGGCCGATTCGATAAGTT